GTGTGCCTTGGCAGGGGGGAGTGTGTAGGAGAGAAGGAGGGGGAGTGTGTAGGAGAGAAACTCCCTCTGGAGGACGTTGGGATTTTGGCTTTTGCATTTTACATCCAAATAAAACGTATAAAACACACTACAGGAAAGTTAGTGACCCATAAAGTCTTACGAACTCAGACACTTAAGATGTAGGACCCAATTGCACGACCAGGGGGACAGAGGTAAAGTATTTGTAAGATACTTTATTTTTCCAAAATACAGCAATATGAACAACAAAAAAGGTCACGATCAAATCTCAAGTTTGAGATGACAAAAATAGAGAACAAAATGAAAGCGCTCACGTAGTGAGGAACCAAAACTATTCAAGAGCACAGAGAGCATAGACCTGACCATAGCAAGAGACAAGACAAACTGACACTGAACACTGGGAGACAGGGGAATTGAAGCACATGATAATAAGACACAGGTGGGAACAATCAGGGACGGGGCTGAAACTGGTGAGCACAGGAGACACACAAGGGGTGGACAATCAGAAGCCTGGAATGAGAGGTAAATGGTGAATGAAAAAACAAACATAAAACAACATAAAAATGAACCTCTCTAGCATTTCTGTCGGTGCACAACATAAAGTTTATTTGGCCACATTTATGAGAGAACTGAATTGAACTTTGGAGTAACTATATGCTGTAAAACCAAAACTGGACATGAAAGGGGCTAAAACGCTCCATAGAACTATGCTAGATTACATTTATAATACCAATTCATTGTGAATATAAAAATGTTGATGATTAGTTCCCATCTCTGGACTGTCATTTTGTATATTGATGATTATGTCTGACCATGAAGTCATTCACTGTGTTTCACTATAGGAAAAGTGAGAGGGTAATAGTGTTAAGCTCTCAGACAAGCAAACTTTGGCAATTCCAATCTACCCCTTACACCCTACCCCTACACACTACCCCTCCGTTTGCGCATTTGCGCGGAGGGTCCGCCACATTAAGTGCTGTTCCAAACCAATGAGTGTGGAGGGGGAGTGGGTTATCAAGCCCTCAAACAACGAGGTTGTGTTAGAATAGTCCATTTAGCTTAGGAACCTTCCTAACGGAGTGAAATGACCCGGAAGTCCCTCAGTGGCAGCCATGATAAGTGCCGTTCGAATTCTCTTGAATGATAGGAAAGGAGGTTTCAAACTTCCTTTATAACCTCCTTTAGCTTAGGAACCACTGGACCTACGTAACCGAAAGGAGAGGAGAAAATGCTGCCCCACAATGCCTTGCAGCCGCAGCATTTGACGTCACACAACAGTCGGCCGTTCACGGACACAAACGATTATGACGGAGAAATTATATCATGAAAGTTACGGTGCTTATTAAGCATTTTAAAACGTATGTGGTAAGTTGCGAAAGTGCTTTGTTTTGAACGTTCATCAGTATTATAATCAAAAAGAGAAATATGAACGTTAGTTTTTACTGAAATAATCAAATAAAGTCAACATTTCACTGAGCTGTGTGGGGTTTGTTCAACTTTTAAAAGATGTTTGAATGGTGATATACACAGTGATAGGTGTTAAAGACTAACGTTTATCATAAATACATTTGTATTGATTTTAAGATATTTTCATAGTTCATACAATCATACTGGGATCATTTGTATTAATGTGGACCGGAGGGAGAGGGTGACGAGCATAAGTTTCACTTTCTTTTTTATTTCAATTCCAACTTTGGTCATGAAGAATATGTTTCTCTGTTGTCCACGTTCATAAAGCATAAACAACAAGGTTTGTTTTTATAACAAGTAGTTTTAGTTTCCCTTTTGTTATACTCTTCCTTACACAAGAAATAGAAACCCTAGTTGTACATAATGACTCATTAAACAGCAATGAAGTTTGTTTCGGTTAGAGGTTTAGTGGTGGATGGGTGAGGTCACCGCCTCACTGTGAGCGTCGAGTTGCTCCGAGGGAGGACAGTCAACCTCCTATTTATGTCGCCGTTCGAAGCCCTATTTGCAGGGAGAGAGGCGTCTTTGTCCCTTAATGGCATTCACATACCTTGTTGCCAAAGTTAGTCGTAGAGAACCTTCTTTTTACTATTAATGTACTGACTTTATTTTGAGTTTGTAGAAAAAGATTCAAGAAGATCAAAATTTGGACTCAAATAATTCAAAGAAAATCAAAAACGTTGTCTGACATTTATATGTGTTGAAATATTATTTTTACGTATACATACTGATTTGTGTACATACTAGGATTCAATTTTTTTTTTATACTCAATAGTACTCCAACAGATTGTAGTAGTTACTAGTCACTTACAAACGTCCTTGACAAACATTTGTCGCACAAAGGACTGCCCGTGTCGTGCTCGTAACTCAGGCCAGTCATCCCGTCCGTCCCAACGCAAGCCTATAACAAATTTTTAGTCGAGCGATTCAAGCTTGGGATAGAAGATAAGGACTGGAGACTCAACTTTTGCAGTCGCCCATTCCCCCTATCACCTATACGTCTTAAGTTTTCCTGGATCCTCTTTCTCTGACGCCCATGAATCTCTTAGGTTTAACGGTGAAAGTGATAGGCTAGCACAAATATCTTACGCGGTCCCGGTCGCCTGCAGTAAAACACGTAGACGACGACACCACTTTGATACCTTGATGTCAAAAGATATGTCCGCCCCTGATGTTGTACCTACAATTATTCCTGCTCCCTGATGACAATTTGAGTAGAATCTCCTGAGACGGTGGTACTGG